CTCATCCACATTCACACACGCATGCTGCTCACTCTCACAATATGGCTGTTATTTCACAAGGAAACTATATGGCCGTGGCGTCACAAGGTTTTCCTACCCAAAACACTTATGTGATACAACATCGAAGCAGTAGATCTGGCGCACCAACGCCATGTACCACCGCCACTAATTTCTACATACAAACGAGTCCGATGCCACCGCATCATACACCGGCACCGTCTCTTTCGGGTTCGGGTAATCATCAGACAACGAATTCTTGTAGTTTGGCGAAATTACAACAGTTAACCAATGGGTTGGAGATGATACCGCCCACGCCATCGCCAGCCATGAATTTGACACCTCCACCGCCTATACCACATACCATGACGCCACCGCAAACTTCGAGGCAATTACCAACGCCTCCACAGGTACCTTTAGGATATCCAAAAAATTACTACAATGTAAACACAGTGCCACCAGGTACACCAGGGCCACCTAGCAGATCGACATCGAGGTCATCGTCTAATTCAAATATGCCATCTCTGACTCAACCTTATCCCAGCGAGAGTCTCTATCGGCAGACTCTCGATCCTAGTAGCACTTGCTCGCAAATGCAGAGTGCCGCAAGCAGGGTAAGCCCGAATGTGGCATTGAATACGAATCTCATGGCTGCCGCACCATACGGATATCGAGTCGCTCAACCGACCACCGGATATATGAATCAAGCAGCACAACTGGGTGGTTTTATGAACCAAGCGAGTCAATTACCCGTTGGTGTTGTAAACGTACCTGCACCCTATCCTCAGGATCCTCATCAGCAGAATCCAGCAGCGGTGTACACAACGTATCATGGCTACATTAACGGAAGCCTGGCGATGCAGCCATTGAATGGTACCATGAGGCCACGTTAGTCGGCTCATTGATTTCCTATTTCTTTTTCAATGACGAACTACTCCAATTCGTCGTAACCGATCAACGAACTAATTTTATCGGACAAGTGAACGCTCTCTAAAATACCACGACCTTCCGCATTTGTTGCCATCAATCACCACGAGCGTACCCCGGATTATCATACTTCCCCGACTTTGCTTCCAGATTCGTTCTATGTAAGCATTCACGACTATAGAGATTCTTTGAATTTTATGTACAGATCGCCTCGGTTGCTACTCTTTTTACAGTGCCGTTTTTTATCTCGTTCTTATATTTCGGAGAAACACCATTTAGTGTGACAGTAAAGAGTACAAAGTAGGATATGGTTGATCGAAGCGAAGACTCAACGTTATTTCGAGTTGTTACTTTAAATCGATTTCTATATTTTTTTTCTCTCTCTTTCCTTATTTTTTTCTCTTTTTCCTTCTCTCTCTTTTTGTACGACATTTGTGATTCTAGGAATGAAGAAAAAAAGGCTCGGTAGTAGTAATCGTAAATGAATACGTTATTAGAATCAATAAGATACTTTTTCTCCGAAAGGAGATTATTTATAATGTTGTAAGGGAGGATGTATTAGCAACAAATCGTAGATATAAATTAACAGTATTTATTGTGATCGTACCACACAACCAACATTTTGGTTCAGAGAGAAAAATAAGGTTTTGTTTTTCATTGGAGAAAAAGTGTGTTATATTCTATTATTGAAATATTTCATGCTGTGTAGGCTTTTAACTTGTCAATAAAGATTAACATGGTACGATTACCATAATGATATGACTTTGTAATTTGTGCATTTAATGATTGATACTTTCTATGTTGTATCAATTTTATATGATTTATCATTCAAATCATATGGAATGCCACTATGTATATATATATATATATTCTTATTATATATTTTTAACTATAATTTGTTTTAGAATGATTACAGAATTAGGAAAATTATTATTACAAAAAAAAAAAAGTACTAATGTTGATAATGTGACAAAATATTTCATGAAATTTTTGATAACTTTGTTTTTTCTTTTTTTAAATAAACTGTCAAATGGCATGAAACGTGTTTAATATCGCACTAAATGTAATTTTAAAAGGAGCAAGTTCATTAATTTATCTTCTCAAATCGATCAAAGTAAATTCATATGTATGCTTCACCAGGGTCTCATCCTCCCAACATCAACGCGTGTTATGTTTTGCGTGTTACATATATATATATATACATACATACATATATACATACTATATATACATATATACATACATATATACATAGATATATATATGTATGTATGTATGTATTTATGTATGTATGTATGTATGTACATATTTGTATGTATGTATGTATATATATACTGTATACATACATACATATATACATACTATATATACATATATACATACATATATACATAGATATATATATGTATGTATGTATGTATTTATGTATGTATGTATGTATGTACATATTTGTATGTATGTATGTATATATATACTGTATACATACATACATATATACATATATATAAACAATCTATATGTATATACATATATAAATATATATATATATATATATAAATACTTACAAATAATATTCTGTTTGATATTATAAATTGTTGAACATTGTTGTTTACGTTTTCTTCGGGGCACGCTGTACTCTACTTGTATTATAAAACTACTTATCACTATGATAATTCTATTATCAGAAATTATTCTGTCATTGTCATTATAAACATTATCATCTTTATCATCATCGAAATCATTATCGATATCATCATCGTTATTGTCATTATCATCGGCATCATTATCTTTACTATTATGGTTGTCGCGTTATCGTGTGCGCACGTTATGATTATTATAATAATAATAATAGTTAATATTATTATTATTATTATTATTATCATTATTATTATTATTATTATTATTA